TCTCTCTCTCTCTCTCTCTCTCTCTCTCTCTGTGTGTGTGTGTGTGTGTGGTGTCTTAAACACCTCACCCAAAGTTAAGCTAATTATAATACTTTTGTTTTGATTTATTTTTAAAAATGTGCACAGGATCCATTCCTTGACGATAAGAGAGACGCCCAGTTGGTCTCCATTGATAAGTTCGTTGTTGTTGTTCATAATTGTTGCTTGTTGCTGTTGTTTGTTGTTGTTGTTTGTTGTTTGTTTGTTGTTCGTTCGTTTGTTTGTTTATTTGTTGTTCGTTTGTTTGCTGCTTGTTTGTTGTTCGTTCGTTTGTTTATTTGTTGTTCGTTTGTTTGCTGCTTGTTTGTTGTTCGTTTGTTTGTTTGTTACGGATCATAACTATCACCTTCATAATCAACATCATTGCCATCTCCACTATCATCGTCATCATCATCATAATCATTCATTACGTCATCGTCATTATTATAATTATTATTATCGTCATCATCGCTATCACCATCATCACTCACCACCTTCACCTACATCACTATCATCACTATCACCATCATCACTATCACCATCATCACTATCATCATAACCACTATCATCATCACTGTCATCATCATCATCTTCGTCGTCATCACCGTCAGCTCCAGTCTGATACAAGCAGAGGAAAATGAAGAAGAGGTAGATGTTAAGTTGCTGGAAGAGAGGGAAAAGTCCATGTGTCAATTGGAGGTATGTCCAGCCGTATTATTATTATTAGTAGTAGTATCAGTATTTTATTATTATTGTTGTTGTTGTTGTTGTTGTTGTTGTTGTTGTTGTTGTTGTTGCTGTAACTATTGTCGTTAATGAATCAAAATATCAAGGCGGATATAATGGATGTCAATCAAATATTCAAAGACCTGGCCATACTAGTTCATGAGCAGAATGACGTTGTTGGTTAGTAAGATGGCTGTGTGTGTGTGTTTGTGTGTGTGTGTGTGTGTGTGTGTGTGTGTGTGTGTGTGTGTGTGTGTGTGTGTGTGTGTGTGGTTTTAAGCATGTATATGTTTGTGTGCATCTGTGAGTTTTTTATTTGTATGTTTGTCTCGCAACTAGACAGTATCGAGGCGAACGTGGAGACTGCAGCCATCAACGTGGAGCACGGCGTGGAACAGCTACAAAAGGCCCGCACGTATCAGGTTCAACTGCTTGCTGATGCTTGAGTCCACGCACAAGTACAACCATCGCACATTTGTATACAAACATATCCACATACCCAAATACAAATATATCTTCTATCTCTCTCTCTCTCTCTCTCTCTCTCTCACACACACACACGAAAAATACATATAACGAATACACACACACAAATATATCCACACACACAAATATATCCACACACACACAAATATATCCACACATTAATGCTTAAATGCTTGTACCAAGTTACTTAAAAACAGATCAAAACACTCACGGACATACACGCACACACACATACACACACGCACGCATACACACGCACATACACACCATACTCACACATTTCCAGTCAAAGTCCAGACGCAAAAAGTTTTGCCTGATAGCCACCGGTCTGACAATCCTCGTCGTCGTCATCATCATCATTGCTGTCTCTGTGAAAAACTAAAAGGCTTGCTACTAGTACGTAAGTTATAACGAACTCGGTGACCGGTTATAACGAACCCGGTTATAACGAACTCGTTATAACCGATTTTAGTACGTACAATTCGTTTCTGTTATAATAATATTATATAATTGTGATTTCATAATACTTATGACTTGCCAATACATTACAATAGAGTGCGGCCCAAAAAATTACCACATCATTATTATTATTGTTGTCGTTGTTGTTGTTGTTGTTGTTTTTTTCATTAGTTTTAGATTATATATTATTAAAATTATTTTGGGAGATTATTTAAAAAAATTTTTTTCTTACACAGATATAGGCTCATGTTTTGATCGTCCGTATGTTGGTTGGGTGTCATTTCTATCAAAAAATGTTGTAGGGGTGAATAAAAAGTGATTGAATGTTTTGTATCAAAAGTGTATCTGGTCTGTATCAAGCGTGTATCTGATTTGTTTTTTTGTATATCTTTGTTTGTGAGAAATATACAAAACAATATCCGTTTGTATGTTTTTGTAAACAAAATTATGTTGATACGATGTATCTATGCATGTATATGTATAATGAATACTGTATCAAACTGTGTTAATATGATATATATCTGTACATATATTTATGCTGAGTTAATACCATCATTGGTATGATAAATTTGTATGTGTGTGTGCGTGTGATGTGCGTGCGTGTGTGTGTGCATGTGTGTGTGTATGTGATGTGTGTGCGTGTGTGGTTTTTGGGCTACATTGCGGTTTTTCTCTTGTAATTTTTGAAACTTTAACATTCTCCATTTTAAACTGTCATTCATCATCGCTAGTCTTTTAATCATAGAATTTCGTCTTAATTGGTTAAATAATTCTGTAAACTCTTACATACATGTAAGAGTCTAAAGAATCATACATGTAAATCGAGACGTGAAATTATTATTTATTTAATGGTTATTTTCTATTTGATGTAATATTTATTTTTTTATATATTTATTTATTTTTCTGGATATAACAATCGAATTCAATGTCTGTGTAATGGTTAACGCGCGTGTTTAGTTCTATTAACGTTAATGAATCGCCGTTTTTATAAGTGGTGATGTTTTAATTTTTTTTCATCTATTTAGAATCTAATTTATATACTATACTGACTGATAAAGGACCTACATCTGATTTGTTTTGCATTTAAACTTAATAAATGGACAGGTAAAGAGATGTACCTGCAAATACTGACATAGCGTTATAGAGACTAGGTATATTTTGGTTATTTGATATAAAACTAATTTTGTTGTGTTAATAAGTTATGACGTTTCGTCTTAAAATTTGGTTTGTTGATGGGGCACAAAGCGAAGTGGACAGCTTGACTAATAGCAGCTCTCTTTGTCTTGGGGTTTTAAATGGCACGTTTTGCCATTTTTGGAATCGAGGAAATTGTCATGGTCTTGTGGTAAATATTTATGTAACATTAGTTTTATTTATTCATTTCTTCGTATTTTAATAGCATTTTAATATCTTTTTTTTGGTAAATGAAAACAAAACGTAACTGCATTTATTGTTAACCACCATTTTATTATTCAACATTTATTCATTTTGTGTTAATGGTTTATTTATTCATTTACGAATTCTGAATAAATTTCTACGATAGTAGTAAAAAAAACTTGTTACACAGAATTCACATTTTATTTTTTATCGAACCATCAACCATAATTGATCTCCCAAACCAGAAATTATTACATTAGGACGACATCAGGCATTCGACACAGTCACCACCACCACCATAATCATTTTCATCATCAGCTTCCTATTCAATCCAATCGCATAATGATATTAAACAAAAATTAAAAAACAAAACTATCCTCATCAAACCAATCAATCAATAATTAATTAATTAACTCGATAATGAACGCATTTTGTAGGCTGTGTTTATATTTAGACTGAAGAATTACGAGAAACAGACTGGACCCAACTCAAGACCAAAAGCTTGGTTTCTCTCGCCGATATCAACTGGAGCCATGTTGACGATTGGCAGGCGTCTGGGTTTCTCTGTCTTCACTTCAAAGACGGTCTTGGACCAGCTGTCTAGACGGTTCTGTTAAAAGAATGGATTAGTGGTTTTTAAATCGTCCGATATTTTCTTAGTAATCTGATCTACTACGATATTTCGACTTGTTTATATATCAATTTCCAATTAATATGCCATGGCGTAAAAAATTATTTTCGATATCCGAATTAGTAAATTACAGCAATATAAAGAAACCCACAGTTAACGAATCATACATCTCATTTTGTATGTAGCGATGAACTAACCTGGCATTCATCAAGAGATACGGAGTATTTGAATTTTGATTTGTCGGCGCTGATTTCCTTCTCGTTGTAGGCGAGGAGAGTGAGGGCCTTCTCATAAGAGTTGGAGCTACTGTCGAAGAAGGCGACGGAGTTGCGGCAGTAGTAGGTGAGGTTCTGTGAAGCGGAGGAGCTCAAGAGTTGCAAGTATCTCAGTTGGTTGTGGCTCACTTTGTATGTGAACTGGTAAAATGAATGAAATTAGGCTTTAGGATAAGTTGATAAAGGTAATAGTAATTTCAGTGTTGAGAAATTGCCAAACTATTTATTGTTGCAACTAGTTTAATGTATTTTTGGCAGTAGGTTCGCCACAGCCGCAAACAAATAAACAAATTTGAAACGTATTTCAATAATCGACTAAAAATTGTATGAGAACACGATGAAATCGTTGAATTTATAAAATGAATAAATACTTACTGGGAATCCGTTAGGGATTTCGTCGGCGAACCATGTACGTTGTTGTGGGCCTTCGTACCAGCGGGCTTTGTCCACCTGATGGGGGTCGGTTGTAGGTTGTCAATTATTTATATTCGGTTTGCACGCATTATTCAAAGTTATAAATGTAAGGATAAGATAGCAAAATTAAATATTATTTGAAAAATTTTTTAGAAAATATCGAAAGAATAGCCTACCTGGTTTTGTGGTTGTACGCATGTCCTCTTGGACTCGATATCGCAGAAGACCTCGATGGCATCTTCAGGGCTCTCCTGGTTTGGATCGATCCAGTAGAGACCTGGACGGGAGGAAGATGGGAACATTAACGAAACCGATAAGGAAACTAATGATAATATTTATATAAAAAAGACGAAAAAATACAAAACATCAAACAATTTAAGAAGAAATGATCAAACCGCTTGGGAAAGTTGGGTTGAAGAAAGCGAGTTCTTTGCATGTTCTGGCGGGTGATTCCTTCGTTCCCTTTGGCACCCTAATCTTTTGAAGGGATTCCTCCAAAACGACGCGATCCTGATGCATAACCTGTTTGAATTAAAATTCGGTGCTCTTAATTTGATTCGATACGAAACCATTCAACTCGATATCGTAATAGATCTCATTTGTTCCCGTTCCACTGATTCAATTTAGTCTAGTGTAAGTTTACAAATCATCCAAGTATCACAGCCAGGCCATTCATGTTCACACTTTTACGACTTAAGGATTTACATATGTAATCAATGCTAGTACATGCATACACACACGCACGCGTGCACATACAAATACGTGTGTTGTACACTTATGTGCGTTCACGCATACAAAACATACATACATATAAGCACGAATGCACAACAAAAAGCACAAATAATTAAACAAAATCTTACTCTTTGTGGTTCATCCCAGTACTGTGTGGAAAAATTATTTGATGAAAGTTAATTTTTAATAACACGACGAACTGTATCATGCTAGCAAGTTATTATCTATCATATATTTAAAATGTAAAACACGAGATTTTAAATGTCTAACTATCCATAAATTTATGAAAAGTCAAACATGTAAAAACATCATTCATATTTTTAGTAGCTACGATGTTATTTTTACAACATTTTTTATTCATAATAATAAAATAGCAGCAAGTTGAATGGAAATAAAAGAAGCTAGTGAACAACCCACCATTTGGCTGGGTCCCTTGTATTGGTTCGGGATGGCACCACCTGTGCTGCTGTAAATGACACGGCCGGGTCTGCCCTGGTGGGGTTTAGGGGGTTTATTAATGGGGATGTTTAGGGAAAGAGGGTGTTTACGATTGGGTAAGATGGGGTAGTAATTATGAAGATATCCAGTTACGTTAAAGAGATAGTCGACTGAGTTGGAAAATTATATTAGTTGGGATATTTCGATCCTGCCAAAAAGCAAGGGAGTATTAATGTGGATATTTAGTTTTGGTCGGAAGGGAAAATTATTAACATCATATTAATATTAAAGATGTCAATGTGACATTCTGTTTTAATGTCGTATTATTTGAAAATCTCCAATGATTCGGTTAATAACAATGCATTTGAGAATTTTAAATAATTATCGACATATTTATGAAAAAAATTTTTTTTTTTAATTAAAACGGAAAAAAAAGTTTTATGGAACTAACTGGGGGTCCTGGTGGTCCAGCGGGCCCTGGGGCTCCCTAATTATAATAAAATTTTATTCCATAACTATGAATAAATTATGTAATAAATTAGGAATGTAATAAAACATGATCATAATTTGAATAATTTATGATGAAGATGATGTAATTATTATTACTTTTTTAAAATAATAATAATAATTTTAAAGAATAATAAACTCACTGGTCTACCATCATCTCCCTCCGCTCCTTGTGGTCCCTTATCAAATTAATTAAATTTTTAAATTAATTAATTATCAATCAATTAATTGGTTAATTAATTAGTCAATCAATAAACTAATAGATTAATTCCAACATTTAATTAATTACAGACGTTTTAATTATTACCATTTAAATAATTATACGTTCAAAAACTATGCAATAATAGAAGGTTAAAACGAAACTTTTAAATTTAACAGTGAAGAAACATATTAATAATAATAATGCCAAACAAAAAATATACAATTATTTAATTAAAATTATGGGTAAAATAATTGAAAATTATAGCTAAAAAATCAATCAATAAATCAATCAATCAATGAAAAACAGAATATATGAAATAAAATTAAAAATACGTACAACAGCTCCTGGAACTCCGACTTGGCCATCGGCACCAGCGAGGCCAGCTTGACCTCTTGAACCGTGCTCACCCTATTTATTACAAAAATATAATTATAATTAATAATTAAAAACATATTTAAAAATAAATAATAATTAATAATATAATAATTAATACAAAAAATATGATAAGGTATATAATAATAATTTGATAATTGTAGAGAGATAGACAAACTCTGTTTCCACGGGCTCCAGGTGCTCCAACGGGTCCTTGCTCACCTCTCTCTCCCTATTAAGGGTACAAAGTTTTTTTAATTAAAACCAATAATTATATTTTTATCTATTAGTAATATGAATATGGTTTATTTAATTGTCGGTGAGAATATTCTTGATTAATTTAAAGAAAAAATGTCTTTTAAGATATTTCCAATAACTATAAAGTTACTAACTGCTGGTCCAGCGTTTCCCTGAATGCCTGGAAGGCCTGGCCATCCTTTGTCTCCCTGCATGGTTGGTTAGATGGTTGGTTGATTGGATGGTTGGTTAGATGGTTGTTTGGATGGTTGGTTGGTTGGATGGTTAGTTGGTTGGATGGTTGGCTGGTTAGTTGGTTGAATGGTTGGTTGATTGGATGGTTGGATGAATGGTTGGTTAAATAGTTGATTTGTTGGCTGGTTGGTTGGATGGATGGATGGTTGGTAGGCTGGTTAGCATCATCAACAACAACAACAACATCAACAACATCAACGATAGCAACGACAACAATAACATCAACAACAACATCAACAACATCAACAATAGAAACAACAACAACCAACTTTTCCTCCGGCTTCACCTCTCTCTCCATCAGCACCTGCAGCTCCTGGGCCACCCTGTTCAATTAATTATTCATTTAATTATTATTAATTATCCATTTAATTATTAAAGTAATTATTGTTTGATTAGTTCAAGATAATTAAAAAATGTATGAATGAATCATGAAATTAATTGACAAAAAAAAATAATATTAACAAAAGAACAAACAAACGAACGAACGAAAGAATGAACGAACCAACCAACAAACTAACCAAAAAACAAACAAACGAACGAACAAATGAACGAACGAACAGACAAACTAAACAAACGATCGAACGAACAAATAAACGGATGAATGGGAACAAATAAATAAATTGAACGTATGTACGTACGGCGGCTCCGAAGGGTCCTGGAGCGCCGGTTTCTCCGATCAAACCAACTTCACCCTGTTAAATTATAATTAAATAATTATTAAACATTAAAAGTGAATAATTAAGTAATTATAATATAAAATAACTAATGAATATTCAAAAAAGTCGTGCAGTTCATAAGATAGCAACCCCAACATGGTACGGCGACAAGTCAAGTTATTAAAATCACACAATAGCATTTTAAAATAACGACCCTAGAAAAAAACAACCAAACAACAACTCAAACAACACATACAACAAAAGCAACAACAACAACTATAGCAACACAAATAGCACCAACAACGCAAATAACAACAACACGAACAACACCATAAACAACAACATTTGGTCGGCGCGATGGTGTAGCGGTGAAGTGCCCGGCACTGATATTGCAGTGACTGGGTTCGATTGCGAGGAGATCCCCGCCTGTCACACACAATGTGTGTGTGTGTGTGTGTGTGTGTGTGTGTGCGATGTCTTGTTTACGTGTTGTTGACGCCCCTGAAGGTTTGTCGAAGAGAAATTTGTAATAATAATAATAAGAATAATAATAATAATAATAATAATGATAATAATAATGATAATAAACAGCAGCCGGAACCACAGCCACTTCATGAAACTCACCCTGGGACCACGCTCTCCAGGGCCTCCGTTTGGTCCTGCAGCGCCAACAACTCCCTTCACGTCAAATTATAATATTTTATTATAATTAGGCGTAATTTATTATATGATAATATCGCAATAATTATTATCAGCGTTATAATATTTTATTATAATTAGGCATAATTTATGATAATATCGCAATAATTATTATCAGCGTTTCATAAACGAGCGTTTCATTATTAACTTAATCGTTACTTCTTTCATCATCATCATCATCATTGCTATCACCACCACCACCGTCATCATCATCACCACCACCACCATCATCAGCAGCATCATCATTCCCGCCACTAACGGTCATTCCGGCGGGTCCAGTTGGTCCGGCGGGTCCGGCAGCTCCCTCACCTCCCTTAGCTCCTGTACGACCAACAGCCCCTGGGTGTCCATCTCTGCCCGCATCTCCCTCTGGGCCGGCCTCTCCAGTGGGGCCAACGTTGCCTGTGGGTGGTCGTGGAGAGAGGGAAGGATAATGAGGTTGGTGGAGAAGAAGAAGATAATAATGAGTTAATGAATGGCGGAGAGAAGTATTACAATTATATTAGTTAAAATTACTAATTATTTTTATAATTGTAATTATAATTAATGCATCTGATAACAACTTGAATGTTCACAATTTATGTGAGGAAATTATTTAAAAGGCTGACCTTGTGGTCCTTGCGATCCATGGTCTCCGCGTTCGCCATGGTCGCCGGCTGGTCCTTGAGCACCTCTCTCGCCCTACGTCACGAATTAATCAGCCAATCGTCAATCGTTGCATAAATTAATACTAATCAGTCTGTCAATCGTTGCATAAATTAGTAAGCTCTACTACTAATCGTTAAATCAATTTATCACGCGTAACAGTAATAAAGAGAATTTTCGATACTCATACAATTTGACGATGTGACAGAGGAAAATTTAACGAAATACTAAATGAAAATCACAGTCCGGATAAAAGATAGAACATTTTTTAGCACAAAGTAAACGAAAAATCAACCAACTCTCATTCCTATTGGTCCGGCTGATCCGGTGGGACCTCTGGTGCCTGGGTTTCCTGGGGCACCTCTGTTTCCTTGGGGGCCTTGTGCTCCCACTGGTCCGGCTGGTCCCTAAAAAGTTGTGGATGTTTTTTATTTTTGACTCTTTATTTTTTATTGTTTAGTTTTTTCATTTTTATTTTATTTTGAATATGATAGAGGAGAATGGAAATTTATTAACATTCGGAAGCGTGAGAATCATTGATTGTTTGCGTGATAATCAAAAATATTTCTCTGACCGCGAACAAAAACGTGCTGAAGATAAATCATAACAATTAATTGGAAACTGCAATAGATAAAAAAAAACAAATATTTCAAAATGAAACAAAAATAATAATAAGAAGAAGAAAAAGAAGAAGAAGAAGAAAAAAAAAAGAAGAAGAAGTGCAACTTACGACGGGTCCAGCTGGTCCCTTGCCACCCTTGGCACCATCTTTCCCGCGAGCACCTGCATCTCCTGGCAGTCCTGGTTTGCCTGTGAAACCCGCCTCACCTTGAACACCCTGGTGGTGGTGGTGGTGGAGTAGTGGTGAAGA